CCTTCAAATTCACTTGAATATTAGGCTTCTACCTTCAAAACCTTGTTTCTTTGCCCAAAATGGCGACAAACCTCTATTAGGAACATCACTCGAATGAGATAAATGAGGAAATGGATACAGCCGATGAGAGAACGGCCTGCGCGCTCACCTTTAGGAGCTTATCATTTCCTTATCACTCATCCAATCATCATGATATTTGGCCGAAATACCCTCCAGAGTATGTAGTGTCGACCAGTTGTACTATTTTTCAATTTTTCCAAAAGTCATTTTTTCGAATTAATGCCGCCTAGATCGGGCTCTGGAACCAATGTGCGGCGCATTAATGCATTTTCAGTGCGGTCGATATTTTTCAAATTCGAATCTTGGGGTGGATTATTTTGTAAAAAATCAAAGCTTCAATCACTAGATCAGTTATAAGAAATGCAATGCGGTGCAAGGAGAGGAGGGGAACGAAAACTTTAGAAAAGATGCGTTACGTAATTCATGAACGCTTCCTTAATACATCAAAATATCTGATGATCTGATGATATTATAGTATCGTAATTTTCTTTCCGCCGGAAAGATTAAGGAAAAAGCAGCTAAACTCAATACGTTTATGGCGTCCTGCTAGGCTTCTACGATGGATCTGTTTTCAAGTAGTTTTATGCAAAATAATTATTCTGAGCACGATCGGTACACTATTCCTTCACACTCCATCCTGATTCCGGACAAACCGAAGAAGACAGTTCTGTCTTGACGATGGGAATGCTTAAAAAGCGTGTACAATTTATCACTGTTGCAGGGCGCCTTGATAAAAAATAAAAAACAACTCGACGACCTTCGCGTCTTCTTTTTTCTTTGCGTGCAATAATGGTTGCAGAAAATGATAAAAAAAAAAAAACAATTGGCAACCATGAGTCGCGGTTGAGGAATAAGGAAGCGAAAACGATGATCCGCATAAGAATAGTACTCGGAGTTCAAAATGGATTGAATTGTTTCCGAATGCACAATAGTATACATCGTGGATTTTCAATTCGCTCATCTCTTGTTTGGAAACGAACATACAATGAATTATCTCCGTGAATTCAAATAATTATTATCATCCAATGATTCCGACTTTCCGCATTGTATGAATTTGTTCTCTACAGTGCTCTCTGCATCGTAAGTTTGATTCTTTATGACGTCGTAAGGTCCAATGACGACTTTCTGAGACAAGGTCAGCTTTTTGAGACGATACGGTACAATTTTACGACGAGGAATTCGTTGAACAAATTTTATTTGAATTTGCCTGATATTAAAGACGATATTTCCTGATTTTTTCGAACGAATAAATTGACACTTTCTTGATTTAAAAAATCAACATATTTGATAAATGCATCAAGTATTTGAAAAATGCTTGAAACAAGTAGAGTTTCCTGATCCATGACTGATTTTCCTGATATTTTCCGGTTTTGACAGGCGGTAGACACCCTGTTGAACTATCGATCACATCAAGTGGTTTTATAAAGGCGTATACCCAACCGCTAGCCATTGATAGGAAAAAATAAAAATTAAATAAAAAGTGTGCAAGTGCGTGCATTCGAGCCTTCAATACTTAAGTAACAAGCATTTTCTTTTCGAGGCATCATTTTCAGAGGAGTCTCTCTGACTGTAGCCTGTTCCGTTGATAGCTTTTTCGAGGCCTCTCTGGGGGAGACACATCGTTCCATTATTATAATATTTCGCACATGGCGCGACGAACCCGACTGTATTACGGAATCTAAAAAAAAATCGCAACACGCAATAGCAGTCGGATGCTTTCCCGCCCGGACACTTCCCAACAGCGAATCTGCGGCTTAATGTTGGGGATTTTTAATCGATTTTACTGGCTTCACTTCGTGTACATCAATGTTTTTCCTTAAAATAGAACATTCTGATTTTTGCTGCGCAAATGTATTAAATCGGCACAAGAGCCGATTTTTGGTTTAGCAAACTTTCTGAAAATTTTCATTGAATTGTTTGTTGTTGTTTCTTTAACAAGTGCAGATTTTCAGCCTTCGTAGTTTCCAATTTTTTAGAATCGATTTTTCGGAAAAACGATTTTTTTGTATCGATTTAAATCGATGAAATCGAATTCTCGAAGAAAATCGATTATTATCCCACCCGTAAAAACCCCAACACTACTCAACTTCTTCGGGGTGTCTACTAAAACAGGCTGACCAAAAATCAGTACTTTTTCAGTACATTCCCAAGAAATTCAGTACCTCCTCAACGGAAAAATTCAATACTTTTTCAATACCTTCAACTGGCGAAATTCGAAAATTTTTAAACATTTGAATTTCCCGCTCAAATTGCAACGAAAATGAAATAAATTCCGGACTTCCTTGCAAAATTTCCGCACTTTTTCAGTACTTCCGGACCGCTCTTGAAAAATCAGTACTATTTCCGGACTTGTGGACACCCTGTTCTTGGACTTGAACTTCTCGTGGAGCTGCGTCTTCGGGGACCTTGGTTGTCGGAGGAGGAGGGGCGGGTGGCTCTGGATGCGGAAGATTAAAAGCCGAGGACGACAGGCGACAGCCAGGAGAAGTCTTTAAAGTCCCAGCGATAGGAGCGAGATTGCATCGGCTCGAGACATAAACTGCAGCGAAATTGAATCCATTCAGGATGTCAAATAAAGCCGGCGAAAAGCTACAGGCGGGGACGGGGGACGCCCTTGAAAAAGCCTGGAACTGGGACACAACTTTACGGGATTCCGTACTCCATAATAACGCCGCTTCATCAATAACTACGGCCGGCCGACCTTTACCTTACCCTCGCCACGTCGTCATTGCCAATAACGGCCGCCCTTCCCCGGGTCCCCGAATCCGAAAAACCACGCGCTCCCTTCAACGTGTACCAACTATCCTTCGCTGCTCGGAAAAAGGGCGCGAAATTCCAAGATCCACTGTGATTCGAATGGATTTCGTCGAGTTCGGCGGGATGCTTGTCGATCTGACAACGGCGCTTCGCAGCATCCCTTTCTGCCCCACCCACTTCGCTCGCGCTTTTCCAGCCCCCCCCCCCCCCCCNCGACCGGGAACGCTCGATCTCGCCACTCGACCCCTAATAACAAGTTCTGTTTTCTCGGTTTGTTTACAAACGGTGCCGCCTGTTGGCCTGCCCCACTAACACGAAATTACCCCCTTGCAAACAGTAAGATTGGCGGTTGGCAAAACCTAACGAATCCATTACACGCAGAGCCCTTCGCTCGATACGAATGCCTATGTTCTGGGGTTCATCGGATGAAGAAATCCGATTTTTACATCGGCCGCTTCAGTTATTAGAGAAAGGCTCCACGCTAAAAAAAAAAAAAAAAAAAAAAAAAAAAAAAAAAAAAAAAAATTAGCTGGCCTTCTCTTTTTTCTCAATTTTTACAGAGGCTAACTCTCGTTGTAACTGGGTTCAAATTTGCATTTTGTAACCTTTCATTTTTGACGCTGAGGCTACCAAAAAAAAAAAAAAATAATCTGCAAAAGACTGATTGTTAACTCGATTATGAACCACACGATATTGACCCGAAAGAAAAGGTGTTAAAACATCAATCATTATTGTCTGTCAGGACACTGGGAATATTGAGGCGATAATTGGCAGGATGGGAGGGCTTTGGTCACTTTGGCTCCATACGGGGGCCTCTTTGATTATGAGTATCTACATAAAAGATACCTATTTTGGTGTACTTAAGCATTAGAACTCTGGCAGACTCGATATTTTCTCCTAAGACACCCTCTGGAAACAAAATTTAAGAATTTTCTTGTATTTGTAAGCTGTCCTTTCCGCCATTCAACTCTTGAAAAGAGGCAACTTTATACTTAGAATCAATTCAGTTGACGAAAAAGAAGAAAATGAGAGAAGAAGATCGACTGAATGAAAACCTTTATACGTGGGTACTGGTAGTCCACACTTAAATATTTTCTCAATTTATAGACATTTTTGGTCCTCGCCAAAAAAAGTTTTGGTAACGCCTCTCTCCGTTCAAATAATCCTCGCTATATATGACATGGATTTTACAACCAAAAATTTTGCAAATACTGCAGATCAGAAAAAACAACTACTTACTCCTAATACACAACGAGAATTTTCTTGAGGCCCAGCCAGGGGCACTAATACGCAGCACTAATAATAGACAGGACCCAACATCTACGTACCTTGACATTTATAAATTTAAACGAATCCTCTCTCCTGGCTTAATTCTCTATTAGATTTCTCGTAAAAATTGACTTACTGACATGGAAATTTATGACGGACCCTTCTTTAATCTAAAGTGCATTTTTTTTTTTTGCTCCATTTTTTACCGCTCAAAACTTTTCCTATCCCCATGTTTTTTATTCGTATTAATCTAAGTCTGCGGAAAAGGTTCTCATTTTCAATAATTAATAAAGAAAACTCGCTTGCCATAAAAATGTTTTCAAGAAGGCTGGATTTTAGAATCTTGTTGGGAATTTCACGGGTTGTAAAACATCACGCCCGCATTGGTTTTTGAGGCTTAAATGGCTTTAAAAATGAGGTTTTCAAATTAATAAAAGGCTATGCTGTTGATGAAAATACACATTTACTGACCTGCTTCAACCGACAAATCTGTGAATTTGATGCCTCCGCTGAAAAAAAAAGAAAGAAAACCCATTTATTACAATTGCTCCGTTTAAAACTTTTTCAAATATTGTCATACAGTATCAGACCGCAAAAAACACGAGGAAATCCGAGATTGAAATATAGTTACAAGTGAGAACACCCCTTTTTGGAAAAGCTGAGAAGGGAATCCGAACTGAACTTCTAAAGATTCCCATGACATCCTATCACATGATTCAAATGATTTCGCGAACATTTTAAAGTGAGAAGTCGCTGGTTTTGATGCGTTGAATTGAATACGTCGAAAGTACGCTGAAATTGTACATACATATATAGATTGTCCTCGGCATACAGTGCATGGAGACGTAATACAATGAAGGGATGTGGGGTCATGTTCTGATTGAAGAGTTCCGAGCCTGTTATGCGCCGAGATTCGACCACCTTTTGGATACGCTTCCGATCCAAAATGGCGATGTATAATACGTAACAATTCATAACCTCTTCATTTACATCGGACGGCCTATCGCCGATCGGGTAACTGTACATCGCAAACAATCGATTATGTATCGAAATGGTGACCCGGCACTGCTCAGGAGTAATAGCATTCAAAGGTAGATTTACACAGGTATGGACAGAACTAAACAGCTGGCCTTTGATTGGCTCTCCAGAGGCCCTTAACTTCCGCCATTTTGTATGTTTTGATTATTTTGATTTATTATGTTCGGTTTATCGTTTGTCAAAATTTTGTGGGATTTTTTGCACAATTTTGATAGTGCGATATTAATTTTAACGTTTACACGCACAAACGTTTGAATGTTAATTTGATTGTAATTTAATTAAAAAAACGGCCCCCTTAACCTACGTCACGTAGTCATGTGGCACGTACTGAGGCTCATGGGAAATTTTTAACTTGTCCATACCTGTGTAAATCTACCTCGATAGCATTCGGTGACTAGGAAATGCCAAAAAATTGGCGCAAGCTCCTCCGTTCTTATTAGGACTCTGTGTACTCTATGATTGCATAAAAGCTGAAGCTTGAGCTGTTGCACAAATCGAGAGTGCCGTGATCCGAATTCACGACCCTGTAGCTGTCATTCCAGGTTGGTCGGGCACAGGGATTTCTTTCAACTTCATGATGAATCGGCAGTCGGAGTGACCACTGATGGTCAACGCATCGCAGGAAACGGAAATGAAAAGAGTAGAGAAAGGGGGTGAATGGCAAGTCGCCGCCCATGTGGCGACAAGGGTAGCAGAGAATAAATTGAAGATCTTTTACAGACAAGTGGTATCTCCGGAACGGTCCAATAAAACAAAACGACTTTGCTTGAGCCCCTGGCAAATTCTAGCTTATCTTCTTTTCAACTGGCGGTCACAGGCAATGTACGCGGGGGTTGGATGATCAGTTCGGCTGACTAGCGCTTCATTTCTGGTGAAATCCATTACCCGCTCCCGAACTTCTCCCTGTTTTTGGCGCCACGCCTAGGCGAAAACACTAAATGGCTAAGACAGCGATTGAATATCGATAAATCCTATTTGAAGTTATGGTAAAGAATCGATTTTTAAGGTGTTCGTTGCAAACACACTGTTTATCGATCCTTTTTCATAGGTTTAAATGGCAGATCAATCGATACATCGCAACTAGCTTAAGATTGCACTATCGAGGAGAAAACAGGTCGCTGAGAGACGGAGCAGAGGCAGAGGGTTATTAAATTGAAAACAAAAAAGAATTGATCACTCGAACCAAAATTAATCGGTTTGTCAGAAGGACTAATGGCAGAGTTGAATCATCACTAAAAAAAAGTTGTATACCAACTTGGACATTTCCAATCAGTGGCGTGGCGTGAACGATCTATTATCGATATCTCGCCATTTGAAGCTATGGTAAAGAATCGATTACCAAGGCGTTCGCTGCGAACACCCTGAATATCGATCTTTTTCCGTAGGTTTAAATGGCAGATCAATCGATATATCGCAAAGCACGCCACGCCACTGCTTCCAATTAATTTCCGTACACAGCAAAAATTAAATTCCTGGTTTAACAATTCAATTGCTAAAATAAAGTGACTGCAATATTTCAACGCAGATTTCACAACACAAAAATGCTACTTTAACCACCCCCGGTTAACTTAGCTTACAATAGTGGTTAAAGTAGCATTTTTGCGTTGTGAAATCTATACGTTGAAATATTGCAGTCACTTTTTTTAGTAATTTAATTGTTAAATCGGCAATTTAATTTTTTCCGTGTAAGGCCCCAATTAGTTATAGGAGTACCCCAACTAACTATGATAGTACCTCAATAAGTTAGGTTACTAACCCAAATGTTGCGGTGCTACTAAAATTAATTGGAAGTACCCCGTGTCATACAAAAAAATGAGACAGTACCACAATTTTAGGCGATAACCCCGAACACTTCTTCCCCTGATAAGTCAATAGCGCGTGTCACAGGCTCATAATCAGTGTATTTCGAAGACAGAATCTTCAACAGTACCAAAGAATAGGGCCTTTTTAAATGCTCTGTTTCCAGTTCAATATTACCGAAGACATCATTCTGTGAAGAAAATCTTGGATGGCGTGTTGCTTTGATTCATCCGATGCTCTCTTATATCTTGATCCTTGATCACGAATAAGTGATTTAATTTGATTACGCATGAGAATAAGGAAGAGCGAGGCGTATATTACTGACATGACACTGTGGATGATGTCATCGGGCCTATTTTTCATCCCCCCCCCCCCGAGGTCTTCGTCAATATTGGACGTAAAAACATGGGTTACGGCTGGACGGCTGGTATTCTTATGAGTAACGATCTGAGAAATTCGACACTTGATTGTTTACGACTTTGCGATATAGGCGACTGACTTTGGAGCAAAATTCAGGTTTCCTGGCAAGACAAGTAATATATTTATAAAAAAAAACGGACTTTCTTGCCCCCTCCACCTTTTCAAGGATAAAGGTTGGGGATGTAGTGTGAATGTCGACAGAAAAATCAATTCAAATCTTTTTCATGGTCCTAGGCCCAAATCTCGCTGGCCAGCTAACGTATATGACTAAAAATTACGGCAAGAATGTTGACTTCATGCATGGGTGCAATAACTTCTCGACTACTCGACCAGGCAGGTCGCGATTAGTCGCGTGCGAAAATGGGAGGGCTCCGAAAATGTGTTTTCACTGGGAAAGATCGGCAAAATCGCGTTGGGTTTTCTTTTTTGTTGCAAAACTGCAGTAAAAAATTGCGTGTTTTCGAAAAACCGCGGCAAAATCACCTGTTTTTCGCAAAATAGTGGCAATTCCTGAGTACAGTCACCTTATGGTGATTCGTCAAGCTCAAAAGAAGTGGTCGAACTGGCATGCGATATATCGCATCTTTTAGGTAAAGAATCTCGGCAGATTTTGAATTTTCAGCCAAAAAAAGGACGATAGGCCCTGCGCATGAGCCTGAAGAATCATTCTAAACCCAAAAATCGGCAAAATTCAGAGAAATGAAAGCAGGATTGTGTTTTGAAAAAAACCTCGCATTCGATTCAGCTATCGATTTCGGTATCGAATGCGAGGTTTTTTCCAAACACTATCCTGTGTTCATTTCTCTGAATTTTGCCGATTTTTGGGTTTAGAATGACTCTTCAGGCTCATGCGCAGGGGCTGTCGTCCTTTTTTTGGCTGAAAATTCAAAATCTGCCGAGATTCTTTACCTAAAAGATGCGATATATCGCATGCCAGTTCGACCACGTCACTTGAGCTTGACGAATCACCTTAACTCAGAAACCAAGAAATACGTGGTTGGAAGAGCGGAACTTGGTCCGCAAGAAACCGCCCCGGTTTCGCGCCGAACCGAATGCTATCATCCGGCACCAATCAGAAACGAGCACGGGTTTCTACGACTTCCGTCAAATGTTTTTCTACTCTTCATACATGGAGACAATAGAAAAGCTGCAAATACATCTTTCGACTAAAAAATTCCAATTTCATTCATGTTATCTGTAATCGTAGTGAACAAGTAACAATTGGACCGAGTTTATCAGAATGACGCCAACTCATACATTCGAAAAAGTCAATTTCTTTGAGTTATTTCTTCACCTACTGCGCAGTAGAGTACCTATATTGAGAGAGTATGGCCACTGAAGTTACCACCTCTGATTGGCTCAGCCATCTTAGGCTAAATGGAGCCCTTAGGACCCAAAAATGGCGGACGCCATAAATTAATGTAATGCAAAATGACTCAAAATGTGGTTTTCTTTGCTTATCGTAACGAGAAATTTACTCAAATGCATCATTGCGACATCTTTACATATTTTTAAGGCTAATCGTGTGCAACTTTTGAGAAAAATTATCTTAGATGTAGTAAGGTTGGCAGCAAGTGCGGTTGGTGATAACCGTCAAAAGTTGGCAATGACCCCCCTCCCATCCTCAAAAACCAAAACAAAGCACCGCCATTTTTGGGTCCTAAACCTCTCCATGGGACCCAGTGGCCATACTCTCTTAATATAGGTACTCTACTGCGCAGTTTGGTGTGTGTCCGAGTTGGTGTGTTTTCGTTCTCGCTGACTCATTTGGCAAAACCTGAAGGCTCATACGGCGTTCTTACTTAGCACGGCAGCATTCTACTAACTCTGGTGAGAGGCAGGGATTGCCACTGCAACACAGAGAATGGAGCATGGAAACATGCAACCAGTGGATTGCGAGGGGCGACAACGCTTTCAGCTTTCCTCGTGGCTTTGGGCGTCGGGCCATGCCGGGCGAGCGATCGCGCCGCCGCGCCGCGCAGTGGATCGAGTCGATGCGAGAAGTCGGACACACGATATTTAACTCAAATTGCGAATTTCCATGTTGAATTCGTCACATTTGAATTTTTAAAAAGTGCTCCGAGCAGGAAATTTCACGAGGAAACCGATGGAACCACTTTTAAAAGCTCGAAGTTCTGTATAAACGGAGTTGTGAGCGTTTGAAGTTTCCGAATTTTGTCCGACTTGTCCCATGAACTGGGTCCACTGTGCGCCAGCCGTGGCATTGGCTCGATGGGGCTTGGGGTCGCCG